CTCACGATTAAAAAATTTTCAATTAAAAATATCGCTTTATAAGTAATTGTGGTTAGGCTTCACATGCTGATATTTTTAATTTCTCTTCGTTTTTTATATAAAGTCGTGAACCCCCCGCTTTGTTTTTACGCGTACTGTAATCGCGTGGAAGAATTTTGTAATTCTATAAAGCCAAATTCAAATTGCTCACGATTAAAAAATTGAAAATTTCAAATACCAATATCTTTCTCATTAGACTTCTGACCCGAGTGTTTCAAGTATAAAAACGTTCTGCTATGCGGTCCGCAACTTATCCACAATGATGTTTAGTTAACAGTATTTCTTTAATTAAAATATATACGTTTTTCAATGAAACATACATATTTTATTCAAATATATATTTTTTCAATTAACAAATGCTTACGCGAATTAACAAATATTTACTTGACAGTCCGTGACTGCAGCGTATAGCTGAATCAAGAAATATTTACTTGACTCAACAGTTTCCTTTTCTCAGCGTGAGGAAATTCGGGTTTCAATTTCGCTGAAATACCGATGAACATTTTCGTCCTCGCGGCAATTCATCACCGGAGGTACGTGAAAGTGGAGAATAGCGATTTCATACTTCTATATTTCTATAGATTTTCGTTTACTAGCCGCCTCTATTTTGCATATCCGTTTCCTTCACATCGTAATCGCATATCTATGAAGGGGTTTCTCTGTTCCATCCTAAATAGATTTCCCGCAGATCCTCCATGAAAGTTTGATATAGGAATATCAGATTTCTTAGCGTCTACCTCTGCCGCGATTCCTATAAATCGCAACGTCTCGCGGACAAGAATAGAAATTTCGGAAATAGCGTTCCAATCGTCTTAAAATCCTGTCGAGTTTCTATCGCGTCACGCTGCTCGCCTGCACCTTTACCGCTTTGGCGTCTTGGCGCTATTAAACTTCCCTTTAATGATAGCGACCCTTTTAAATTTATAGAACGTTTGCCGGAACACTATGGCTTTCGCGCCCCGTAATATCCATGCGAGGAGCGAAGAGTTTATAAAAACCGAACATAGAAATTTTATTGCTCGAAAGTGCGATGAGTTTTTTTTTGTTTGCCTCCCGCGTCTTCGTCCGCAGGGAATTACGATCATCGTGAATGGTACGTTCTTTTTATCGCTCGCATCCGAAGATGCGTTTCCGTGACATTGCGGAACTCGTAAAAGGGACACGCGCACGTCCGAACGCGTCAGGGACTTCTTTTTATCGTTTCCGCGCAGCGTATACACTGCAAATTACGATTGCGTTGCAGAAACATAAGTGTCGATCACGAAGATGTATTTTTATTGTTGCTCGCAACGTTACGCCACGGACGCAGCGCCTGCAGATACGATCTTCGTGATATTCTTCAAGTGTAACGCACCTATTATTTATGTCAGTATAAATAGATTATCTTCTTGATTCACGTTTCTGACAACAAAATGCGATATCCTTATAACTGTCTCTTCTTCTCTACGCGGAGCGCGCAGTCGGCAGGGAAATACAACGAGATAACGGTTCGGGTGAGGATGAGGAGGGGACGAGAGTGGCGAAGTCAAGGAGCAGGTTTGTAATTCATATTAGAGTCTCGAAGGACAAAGCAATCAAGTCGCCCAGAGCGAGCGGTTGTGGCGCAGACTCGCCTGGACTTCCGCGTCGAATTAAACTTACAGATCCGCCAGACACACAAAGAGGCGAGCAGACACGGAGAGACCGGCGGATAGGAGAGGAAAGGGGAGGTTGTCGGATCAAATGAAAGGAAAATATTGTATTTTTTATGAGGAGGAGGGGGGGCGGGGTCGTTCGAGTCGGGAGACAGGTTCGGGGAAAACTCGTGCGGGCGAACGAAGTCGATGGACCGTCGGGGAAGCGGGGCGAAGACGGGGAATAAAGTCGTTGCTGAAAAGAAGATCAAAGTTGGAATGTGTCGGTGGTTTGCGAAAAAAAATGGGGTGGGGTGGGGGAGCTTTTCAAGTGCTTTATTACACGGTGACAGGCTTTCAACAACGCCCAAGAAGTCCGCGTTTGCAATCAGGGCTTTAATGAAAATGTAAAGCGAGCGTACATCTGGATTTTGCAATCTCCGTCAGGGGGGGGACTCGCGAATGCATAGCGCGTTTGATAATATTTTTCTCCTTGGAACGGATCGCGTGTCTTACGCAGTCCCGCGTCGCAGGCGATTAAACTCTTCCGTCGCGGAAAATAAGCGCCGACGACAAACGAAATTATGCGACTCCGAAATTGCCGAACGCCAACGCGAAGCGGGATTAATGCGTGTAATAAAATGTTACCCGAGTCTGTTTCTCGTGCGTGTGTAAGAATTCGGGGGATATTTCGGCGCAAGGTTGAAAACGAATGCACGTGGTTCATAAAGAACATCTCTTTACGCCGAGTAAAGAGATTTGTTTAGGGTTAAACAAATGAGATACGTTGAAATCACGTTTCTTCGAGTCTATACTAAACTTTTATCACTTGTACCAAAGCATTTGCTAGATTTGAAGAAACAAATATGAATTCTCTTTGCGATTCTCAATCAAATAAAATTTATATTTCACACATAACGTCCTGTGTTGACTCCTATTGTCTGATTCGTTGTTCTTTCTGATTTTATTATTGGTGTCTGTTGATCTTTCTTCATTTTTAAATAAAAGTCTAGTATGTAAGTCAAAATTGAAAGAAAATTTGATTTTAAAGAAACTTTTCCGGATGTAGCGCGTATTTCGTAAGATAGTAGGAGTTTTTTTTTACAATAAAGTAAACCAATACGTTAATGAGTACCTGCCGAATGTCGTGATATGTGCAAAGAAACTGAATAATCGCGCACATAACGATTAATCTATTGATCGAATATCGTTAGTTCTGTTTCCCCTTCACAGCACGCAAGATTACCTTGCGTAAACTACGATTGCACGTAGCACGGTTAAAGACTATCGTAATCTTATCTTAAGAAAATGAGTTTTTTAAATAAATAAAATATACGGAGAGACTTTTCTTTTGAAATTTCTTCTGAAAATTATGTAACCATGGGACAACACGGCATTTCGAAGAATTTTATGAGAGCTTTTTGAAATTTTACCATATATTTCACTTGGTATACATTTTACTAGGAAAATGCACGGCAAAATTTCAAAAAGCTCTCATAAAGTTCTTCAAAATGCCATGTTGTCCCACGATGATTTTCAGGGCGACTACGAAGAGAAAATTCTCTCCGTATATGTTAAAAGACTTATTTTCCCAGGACAAGATTACGGTAGTCTTTAACCGTGCTACGTGCAATCGTAGTTTGCGCAGGGTAATCTTGTGTGCTGCGAAGGGGAAACAGAAACCGCCGATGTTCGATCAATCATAGTCTTTCCGTGTCCCTATTAATGAACATAATATTTACGTGTGTAAGCGTTTATGATGGATATTTGCATATAGGCTACTTAACAATGTGCGGTAGATGTACGCGATATACAATCTCGACGCTCGGACGGTCCTTAATGAAGATTTAATCGCGATGGTTATTAGATAGGCTCGCGTGCGCTTTGTTATTAGATCGAAGTTCGGCAGACCGCGAGGAGTTAACTAGATTCTGATGAACCCGTAGCGCGAATTCGATACGTTCCCCCTTACGGATACGCCGCGCCGAGACTGTACGACACCGCGTGTACTGAATCCCGAGCACGTGGCACGAAAATCTCCGGCCTGGCGTGAAAATGATCTCCATCACGCACCAGGCATCGCCGTGCCCGTTTTAATTCGACGCGAGGCGCATGCAACGACGATAATTGACGATCATCGTGCATGAAGACGTTGCGCAACGCCGCTAGAAGCGTCCTATACGAAACGGCGTAATTTGAGTAAGTACCGCATATCGCGCGCGCGATTATTACCGTGTTTCAATTTCTCGGCGCGGGTCTCAATCAGAGATCCGTAAACGACATTGCCGCTTCAGTAATGAACATTTGTCGGCCGCGTGCTTCGTCATTCGCATCGCGAGGCGTAGCGCACAGTGCGGGATTGTTATTCGAGATTTACGATGCACATTAGACGACCGAGATAATCCGAATTGCGTAGAGTGCAGTCCGGCTGGTGGACCGACTGCTCCGCAGGGTAGAGCTGCTCGCTCCGTTACAGAGAAAGGACCAAAGGTAAATACTTATCGAAACGGCACAGCCTTTCCATTTTCCACGTAGGAAGGTGCTGTTTGAGTCGCGGGGCTTTTCGGGGCTTTTCGAAAATTTGTTATCCGGATTTTCCCTTAACCGATGCCTCCCCTGTGCTTTTTATTCTCCGAGCTTTCGCAAAACAACCCGCTGGCGCAACGTTGTAGCGAAGGATAAATTTTTAAATACCCGCGCTTCTGCTCCCGCGGTGTCTCTCCGATTGGAGCGTATTGGAGCGAGTTGGAAAAAATTCATGACTTATTAATAACTACGGTCCGGGACGAGGGCGCGCCCCGAGCATTTCGAAACCGCCGGGCTGGCGCCGCGCGGATTAATGTCGCGATTAACGCGGATCGTTTTTGTAACGAGCGACACTTTTTCCCCCCCTCAAGGCCGCGAAGTACGATCCCTCAACCTCGCGCTCCGTCTCGTCCCGAGGTCGAGACCGGAGTGTCGTCGGGTCGTCGGGCGTCGGAGCGCGTGTCGCGCCGGACGGACGGAGCGGGCGCTTCGTGACGCCTCGGGTGCGTCCGGCGCCGCCGAAGTGGCCCGAGTCGGCCGAAGTCGGCCGCGGCTGCTCGTGGCGTTGAGGAGCGCGCCGCGCGGCGTCAGTGCTCCAGCGGACGCGGTCGCGCGCGTACACTTAACCCCGATTTCCTTTTTAATTCGCCACCGGGCCGGCGGAGGAGCGTCGTGCGAAGGAGCGACCAGTCCGGCGTGCGCGACGGGAGTGTCGCTCGTGTGTCATTCGTGAGTGGCCGGTGAGTGTGAAAGCAAGTGCGACAAGTGCGAGTGAGAGGCGCCGGTGATCGCGGGCGGTGTGTGAGAGCTGCGTGCCGTTTGCGGAAAAAGACGGGATCGCGAGACGCGTCTCCTCCTCTTCCTCCGAGAGAGAGAGTTGCTCCGCGACATTCCGAGCGTTCCCGACATTCCACGCGCGCACCCAACGTGTCCCGGAGTGAAAGAAAGGCTTCGATTTCGAGCCGCGCGTCGCGTTTCTCGCGAGTCTTGGAATTGAAGGGGTTGGAAAAGTGAAAAACCGAGGGTGGATCGACTCGCCGACGGCAGGCGCGAAACCGTGACTCTCGCTCCTCGTGACTCTCGTCAATTAGCGCTCGTCGCTCCGGAGGGGAGCTCGCGCGGAGAAGCGGAGGCTCGCCGCGTGTGTGACGTACGCGCGCGCCCATTGACGGGCAAACCTCGCGCGCACGCATACGTCCGCCGGCGCGCCGGTGAATTGACGATTACGCGCGCAACGGAGTGACGTGGCAGCGCGTGCCGTTCGTCGCCAGTTTTTTTCCGTTTTTCATTAATCCGCCACGCTGGTGCCTACGCACGGGGTGCGTCGGCCAGACCAGCCCGTTCCCGTTCGCCGGGGTGCGCTTCGACACGGAGGAGTGCGCGCGCCGATAATCGACAGTTATCGCCGTTGTCGTCGCGGCGCCCAGCTGGACGCGTCCGAGATACGATCGGGCGCTAATCGTCGCGCTCCAGTTTCAGCGCGGATACGCGAGCGCGAGATCGCGCCGGCCAGCAATCGGGAACGCGCGCGCCCGCCGACGCCCGCCTTTCGCCGGCTCGCCCGCGCCGGGACATGCAACAGCTCCGCGTGACCTTTTGAGACGCGATCCGCGCGGTCTTCCGGAGTCGCGCCGCTCCGAAGTTGGAATCCGCACGCGAAGCCCCCCTGGGGGATCGCCGTTCGCGTGCCGTCGCGAGAGAAGCGGAGCGGAAGAGAGTAGAAGCCGACGTCGCCGCGCACGAGACGCGATACCTCGCGTGACGGCGAGTGTACGGAGCGCGTGCCGGGACTGTGAGGATTAGCGAGAGGCTGCTTAGGGGGTCGTCGTTTACGCGGGCTCGCGGATTCTAGGGAGGAGCGCGGTGCACCGAGCGCGCTCGAGCTCTCGCCCCGAGTTGGATACCTGGATGTCTCATCTTACCGAACCTTATGCTGCCCATCGTTCTGTGATAAAACCTGTGATATTACGAGTTTTCCCGGGATCGACGAGAGAACCTTCTTCGGAAATCGGTAAGCGATCGTCGGCCATTAGTGAAGCCCACGGCTTCCTCTGCCACGTATCTCACGATTAGATAAAACGCAGCGGCTTACCGGGCTGGACTCGCGCGTTTCCGCTGATCACATATCGACGATTAGTTACCGCGTATCGCGCGACGATAAATTGGGGCGTCGCCAATTACGTAATGACGTTCGCCCGAAGCCGCATGCACGAAGAGTTGGCGTCCGCCGCTGCGCTTTATCTCCACGTGGGTGCGTCGTCCGCAGTCCGCTCGTCCAAGTGACGCTAACGAAATTGTCGGCGATCGCGAAATGTCTTTTCGGTTCCGCGCGCGGAAGTGAATTCGCGAGGCTGATCCATACCACCGACTCGCTCGCACGTTGGCTCCCAAAAGCGAGTGAGATCCAACGAGGCGTCTTCCGCCTGTAGCCAATGGGGCCACTGGCAGAATTCAATCTTTGACACTCGATTGTCCACTTAGCGATCTTCTGTGGGATTGTTAAATCCTAATTCAACTGGGCGGAAAGAAACCGAGAGCCGGCGAACGAAATATTGTCGACTCCTTTGTTCGGAGTTTGATTTAATTTCTCTCCCTTTTTCGCCAGGGTTACAAAGAGGTTTCTAGTTAAAAAAAAACTCCTGTCGTCTGTGAAGGAGAAAAGGGACACTAAAACTGTTTTATTGAAGTTGCTGTTGAAGTGGTTATCGAAAAAAAAATGAAAGATATTCTGCCTCGGCGCTTTATGCTTTATGTAAACGGAAATCTATCCCTCGATTAGCTTCCGATGGATTTTCATTTCGGCAGCGTCTCAATCGATCTTAGAAAGAAAGAAAAGTCTTGGAGACATGCCCGGGAAAAAAAATCTATCGCGTTGAAATCATGTTTCTTCGAATCTACTAAACTTTTAGCTTACTCGTACTAAATTTACTCGGCTTGACGAGAGAGACGCGAATTCTCCTGGAGATTGTTAATGAAATGAAATTTTGGTTAAAGTGGAGAAGTAATTTCTTCGGAATTGAATAAACGTGGCCAAAATTCAAAGAAACTTTTTTTCCGGGTGTAACGTGGACACCAATTCTCGCTATTATGCCAATCTCCCCCGTTTCGCCGCCGCTTTAAAACCGTGAGGCGAAGTGCGCGGATTCTAACGTGACCCGTGGCCAATGCTGCGCGAGTAAAATGTGGGAAAGCGTGTATTTTTTGCCCGCCTGGCACGAAATCCCCGTCGAGAGTCCGAGGTTGGAGATTTCCGTGGGGAGCTCGGGCATAATCGAGAAAACATCACAATGCGCGAGGGTGCTGGTCGAAGTCGACGACCTCGAAGAATGTTGACCAAGGCCGTTCGCGTCTATTTATAGCGCGGCGGTAACGAGGTAGTCATTTGCTGGGAACCGTATTTTCAGGTGTCAAATCTGTACTGAAAGCGCCACTCGGTGAATTATCCCACCTGCACTACGTCCAGAACGTACGCCGCGAACTCACGTAATTGTACTCGCGGTATCGCACCGCGCCAAACGCTCGTTAGTATATAATGAATCTCGTAAATTAATATTTAATACGAATCTCTCTTTTTAAACATTTATCCGAGTTTGCGCATTTTTATCTGGATGTTGTTGTATTATCCACTCGTAATTTATCAGTCGCGTTATTGTCACGCGCGTACGGCAAGAATTTAATTTGGTCAGACACTCGGTTAAGGGTACGAAAAATTAATATTTTATTTGTAGCGCCCGAAGCTTACGCACATCTCCAGGTGTCAATCATCGATCTTGATACACTTTTAATATGTCGTTTTCTAGACAAAAATAAGGGACACGTATTTGTTTATACGTGCGTTTTATACGGGGTGTTTCATCCCCTAAACATGCGTATGGGCACGTATAGAAAAATACGTGTCCCTTATTTTTGTCTAGAAAACGACATATTAAAGGTGTATCGAGATCGATGATTGAGACCTGCAGATGTTTCCTCGTTAGAGAAATTAAGCGGGCGTTAAATCGCGCGCCCGAAATCATTAGCGGTGACATCCGCACGGAGGGTGAGTTTTCTGTTAAAATATATCCTGAAAATCATGTAATCGCGGGGCAACGTGGCATTTTGAACTGTATGAGAATTTTTTGAAATGTTGCCGTACATTCTGCTAGTAAAATGCAAGGTTGGGAACGTTACCTTAAAAAACTAACGCGTTACCGTTACCGTTATTTTTTGTAAAAAG